TTTCGGTGTGTGTTTGGTGGGCAGCTTTCCATATAAGAGGCACCAGACGAATAAGACAGACAAACCACTTCGAGGAAAGCAGCCACAACACTACTTACCAAGATTATTTTTTAGCAAGAGGAGGAGGAGAAGAATGGCTAAAAATGACTTTACCACCAACTCCGTCAAATGCTTGCCCGCCAAACACACACCGAAACTACGACGTTGCTACAACATTCGAACAAGTTTTAACACCTCCTAACCAGTTATAACAACCAATATAGAAAGTTGTTAAAACGTTCTGATACGTCATAAACACGTTAAGCCAAGAAGTAACAACTTTATTACAAGTTGCAACAAGCAGAAAATAGAGACAGTTACGGTTTGTGTTTCCAGGGTGAGAGGACGCAAACACAGCGGCCTCCTTACCAGAGCCTCAGATATTAACACCAAGTAAGGCATCCAGCACTTCCACTAACATAACATCATTTATATTTGCCAACATCCAGGGTATAAAAACACGCAAATGTAACAAAGTTCACTTCATAGATGGCCTCTTACATGAGGCAAATGCAGTGTTTGCAGCCTTATCGGAAACCCACACAAAGGACTACCATGATGGTGAAATATGGATCTCAGAGTACAATCTTTTCAGATCTGATAGGAAACACCGGCTTCAGGGTGGGGTCAGCCTCTACATCAAAGACACACTCATCTGTACTGAGCTGCTAAACACCACAAATGATATGGTGGAAGTGCTGATAATCAAAATAGTGATCCTAAATGTAGTTACTGTCCTTGTATATAAGTCACCGGAGGCAAACCCTCAGCAGTTTAAAGACCAACTGATGAAAATAGAACACTGCTTAAAAAAACTCACAAATCCAGCCCCAAACATCATCCTGCTTGGGGACTTCAACCTACGGCACCTGAAATGGAAGCACCTGGCTAATACAGTAATATCAGAAAGAATACCAGGAAGTAGCCTAAATGAACAGGCACATGCAAATGACCTGCTACGGTTGTGCGACAGGTTTGCCTTAAACCAGCAAGTAGTAGAACCAACTAGGAAGGAGAACACGCTGAACCTCATTTTCACTAATAATGATGAATTGATCAGGAACATACTGATTACAAATACCTGTTACTCAGATCACAACTTAATTGAAGTTCTGACTAGCATGGGGAATAGACCTTCAAAACCAGTCCCGATTCCCAGTGGAGGAGATTTCAGCAAATTCAACTTCAATAATAAACAGATAAACTGGGAGCAAATAAATCAAGACTTCACAGAAATAAACTGGGAAGAACAGCTAGAAAATGCAAACCTGAACCAGTGCCTGGAAAAAAAATAAGCTCTGTAGCACTAGAAATATGTTCAAACCGCATACACCTAAGAAAAAAGAGAAAGAGATGCAGATTGGAACGGGAACGTCGTTCCCTATATAGGCGAAGAAAACGAATCGCGGAACAACTTGAGAGTCGCACCCTATCTCAAGAACGGCGAAGAAGGTTAGGTAAAGAAATAGAAACAATTGAACGCAAGCTACAAGAATCATACAAAACCCAGGAGAGGCAAAGAGAGGAAAAGGCCATCAGTGAAATAGAGAGAAATCCGAAATATTTTTTCTCCTATGCAAAATTAAGATCAAAAACCACATCTAGTATCGGGCCCCTGAGAAAGGGAGATGGAACTTTCACAGATGACAACAAAGAAATGAGCGAGCTACTGAGGAAGCAGTACGACTCTGTTTTCAACGAGTCACTAAACACACTAAAGATTGATAACCCAAATGAATTTTTCATGGATGTGATACCAACATCAAATCATATATCAGACGTCACCCTATCCCCACTGGATTTTGAAGAAGCCATAAACAGTATGCCTATTGTGACGATAATCTCCTTCAAGAGATTGAGCCTGCTCTTCCCTCCAAAATACGTCACATTACATCTATATAAAACAAGTATGGAAGAAATATCCAACTACACCAGCAAGGTTTGCCAGAGCGCAAAACGTATGCAGCCAGGAACACCTGCTCCACCTCAAACCGCCAAACTACCTGTCTTGTCGCCTGCTCCTCGCTGATTGGCTGCGGGTCCAGTTGCACCTGCACTCCACCCCCACACTACTTGATGTCTGGGGCCACCACGACCTCAGTCCTCAGAATATCCCGTGCTTTCATCAGGTTAATACGTCTTCTTGGTAGACTAAGCTGTGGCTTACGTGTACTAAGAGAGGTGATAGCTTAAAGCCAATATTCCTGCACCTCTTATTTGATTGTATATTGCACTGCTTGTTATTGCTCACTTGTCTTAACGTAACTTTTCATTTTGTCATTTGATTATTCTTATTATTTTGATTGATTGATTTTATTATACGAATTTGTATGTCCATTTTATTCATGTTTTGTTTTTCTAACGTAATTAAAATTGCATTGTTAAATTTACTTGTGTTTTGTGTGTCTTCTCATTACCTTACCACAGACGAAGTTCCAGATTTTATACTTTTTTTGTTTCTATGTGACGAGGCCATACCCCTAGCTTTTGAACAGCCGAACACTAACGCGTTACCGTCACACTATGCACTCTGCACCAGGCCCGGATTCTTCGAACTCCATATTCATCAAGAACTGTAAAAAAGCCCTATCGCAGGCCCTTCACATTCTTTGAAGACAAAGCCTAGATACTGGCATTATCCCTGACATACTAAAAACAGCAGAGATAGCACCACTTCATAAAGGAGGAAATAAGGCAGAGGCAAAAAATTACAGACCGATAGCATTAACATCACACATCATAAAAATCTTTGAGAGAGTGCTAAGAAGTAGGAGCACAAAATACATGGAATCACAGCATCTCCATAACCCCGGACAACATGGTTTCAGAACAGGGCGCTCTTGCCTGTCGCAGTTGCTGGACCACTATGATATGGTATTAGATGCTATGGAAGACAAACAAAACGCTGGTGTAATTTACACAGATTTCGCAAAAGCCTTTGCCATATGTGACCATGGTGTTATTGCACATAAAATGCGTTCAAAAGTAATTACCGGAAAAATAATCAGATGGATCTACAATTTCCTGACCAACAGAACCCAATGTGTAATAGTCAATAAAATAAAATCCGATCCATAAACCGTTAAGAGCTCAGTCCCCCAGGGTACTGTGCTTGCTCCAGTACTTTCTCTCATCCTCATATCGGACATAGACAAGGACACAATCTATAGTACTGCATCATCCTTTGGAGATGACACTAGGATCTCTATGAGAGATGACGACATAGAGGACACGGCAAACCTCCAATCAGACGTAAATCAGGTCTTTCTATGGGCTACAGAAAATAATATGGTGTTTAACGAAGATAAGTTCCAGCTCATGCGCTACGGAAAAATGAAAATATAAAAACGGAAACCACGTAGAAAACTCAGTCAAATCATAACATTGAACGAAAAGGCAATGTAAAGGATCTGGGTGTACTCATGTCGGAAGACCTTACCTTTAAAGAACACAATAAAGTAGCCGTCACAACTGCAAGAAAAATGACAGGATGGATAACAAGAACCTTTCACTCACCCAGGTGACCTGACCACGTCACCTCCTCACCCAGGCCTCCCCCCCCCCCGGAGTCAATGCTGTATCACACATAAATAGTATATTTAAATATTCATACAACCACAAGTGTATTGGAGTTTGTGTGAGGTTGGTCTTAGTGACAGGTCGGCTTAGGTAGGGGTGGGGTGGGGTGGGGTGAGGGGTGGGGGGTTGTGGAAGGTGTGCGGAGGATGATTGTATTCCAATGAGATGAGTGTGATTGATGGGTGAGTGTGCTCGTCATGATGTACTCACCTTGATGTGCTTACTTACCTTCCAAGTATTAGTAACTCTCTCACTTTAGTTCTCTCTCATGTGTCTTATTCCTCGTCTGTGTCTCATCTCTCCTCTGTGTTTCCCTTTCTCGCAGTGTTCCCATTGATCACCGCTACTTTGTCAACTTGACAGCTGAACATAAGTGCGGTGTGTGGCTGGTCTTTATAAGTTGGTCCTCTTCAGTGTGGACCACTGAAGTCGGTCTCGGATGCGATTACCTCAGGGACCAACCACGGGGTCGAGTTGCTTGATGTTGTTATACACAGTTGGTCCTTGTACCAGGGGTGTAGCTCAAGTGAATAAATCCACAAGGGCCGTGATGAGGGTTCGAACTTAGTCCAGGATGATCCCAGACACGCCTTAGTCGATTGCATTGAAGTAAGGGCGAAGAGATTGAACAGCTTTTTGACAGAGCCCGGGTGCATGGGGGGAATTGTGTACCACCCGGGTTTGTGTCTCGGAGAGGCTGCGGGATCCGTGTGAGGGCAGTTGCACTCCCGGTTGCAATTCTTTTAACCATGTCGTGGCGCAATCTACTATGGCGCGTCTGGGATCATCCTGAACGTGAGTCCGAACCCTCATCACGGCCCTTGTGGATTTGTTCATTTGATGTATCACGCTAATGTGATTTCTGAGTGTAGTGTGTAGCTCCTGGACCTGGCCGCCTAAGACCTACTGTCAAGACCAAACCATCAGAAAATGGAGAAACGACAACGTTACGGTCCGTCCTGTACCGTTATCCAGTCGCGTTATGGACCACCATCATCACACAATCTGATAGTGGTCCAGGACGGACCGAAACGTTGTCGCCTCTTCATCCTCAGGTGTGTGGCTCGGTCACCATATCTTCAGCCTCATTATTGTGACTCATGTCTACCTAAGACTACACTTTCTCAACCACTTGAGAACGTAGAACCAGCTTCAGCCATTGTTTACGAACGTGTCAGCTTACAGAGTCAACGACCCCATCCAACAGTGTCTGGTCTGCTCCTCACAGGTCGGGTTATGATTATTTTCTTGCCAGGAAGTTTAGTCTCTAGATTTATTGGTGAAGGGCCACAAGCAGTTTACAAAAATCAAACGTTTGGGAAGATGAATCTTAAAGAGTGGAAGGCGAAGGCTTTAGTCTGATATTGCATATGATTACGGATATGTATGTTAAAGGTGGTTAGTGACTCTTACAGCTTAATTGTCCGCAAGTAACTGTCTTTGAATCTTCCAGTACCAAACCCTGATTCTTCCAATACCGAACCCTGAATCTTCCAGTACCGAACCCTGAATCTTCCAGTGCCGAACCCTGCATCTTCCAGTACCAACCCTGAATCTTCCAGTACCGGCCCTGAATGTTCCAGTACCGGCAATGACTCTTCCAGTACCAACCCTGAATCTTCCAGTACCGGCAATGACTCTTCCAGTACCGGCCCTGAATCTTCCAGTACCGGCAATGGCTCTTACAGTACCAACTCTGAATCTTCCAGTATCAACCCTGAATCTTCCAGTACCAACCCTGAATCATCCAGTACCGGCCCTGAATCTTCCAGTACCGGCAATGACTCTTCCAGTACCGGCCCTGAATCATCCAGTACCGGCAATGACTCTTCCAGTACCGGCCCTGAATCTTCCAGTACCGGCAATGACTCTTCCAGTACCAACCCTGAATCTTCCAGTGCCAACCCTGAATGTTCCAATTCACATTCCATCACAGTTCGTGACCAAGAAAGTACCAACCAAGAATCTTCCAGCACTGAATGCCCGCGGCACCATCACCCCCCCCCCCTCCCTGGGGTACCAGACGCTCCCCCCCCTCCCTGGGGTACCAGACCTCCCCCCCCTCCCTGGGGTACCAGACGCTCCCCCCTCCCTGGGGTACCAGACGCTCCCCCCCCCTCCCTGGGGTACCAGACGCTCCCCCCCCCCTCCTGCAGTACAGACGCCCCCCCATGACCGTGGCACAGAGCCCCCCCCCCCCCTGAGGGTGTTGCATGGTACTTGTCACGCAACAAGCAGCAATATTCCTGCAAGCAGCGGTGACCAACGCCCAGGAAGGGAAAGCGGGCCCTGGAGGAGGCGCGGGGGGCCGGCGCCGCGCCCCGTCGCCACACTGACGGCTAATGATTCACAGGAATCGATGCGAGCCGGAGTGCCCGCCGGGGTACCCCAAGGTCCCTTTCTTCGCCTTCGAGGTGAGTAGCTGACTGCTTCGGCTGTTGTGGCATACACCGTGTATAGACTGTTGGTGTAGCATAACCTCTGGCTTGCCCCCCATCCTCCTCATACTAGTATGAATCACACACTCTTCCCCCTCACACAAGAACCTTCTTATCTCCCTCTCCCTCACTCAGGGAGATCAGGGAGTGAGGGAGGGAGATGAGTGAGGGTGATGGAGATGTGTCTGGGGGGGAGGAGCACCCCCAGACACGGGGGGGCTCGGGGACCCACTACACAATACGTTGCAGGAGGTCGAACTACAGCTCCCGGGCCCCAGCCCCCGTGGATAAGACTTGACGCTGTGGCGCAGTGGACGGGTAGTGTTCTCATGGTCGCTCGAAGGTGTTCTCATAGTGGCTCGCAGGTGTTCTCATAGTGGCTCGCAGGTGTTCTCATGGTCGCTCGCAGGTGTTCTCATAGTGGCTCGCAGGTGTTCTCATGGTCGCTCACAGGTGTTCTCATGGTCGCTCACAGGTGTTCTCATGGTCGCTGACAGGTGTTCTCATGGTCGCTGACAGGTGTTCTCATGGTCGCTGACAGGTGTTCTCATGGTCGCTGACAGGTGTTCTCATGGTCGCTGACAGGTGTTCTCATGGTCGCTGTCAGGTGTTCTCATGGTCGCTGACAGGTGTTCTCATGGTCGCTGACAGGTGTTCTCATGGTCGCTGACAGGTGTTCTCATGGTCACAGGTGTTCTCATGGTCGCTCACAGGTGTTCTCATGTTCGCCCGCAGGTGTTCTCATGGTCGCTCACAGGTGTTCTCATGGTCGCTCACAGGTGTTCTCATGGTCGCTGACAGGTGTTCTCATGGTCGCTGACAGGTGTTCTCATGGTCGCTGACAGGTGTTCTCATGGTCGCTGACAGGTGTTCTCATGGTCGCTGACAGGTGTTCTCATGGTCACAGGTGTTCTCATGGTCGCTCACAGGTGTTCTCATGGTCGCCCGCAGGTGTTCTCATGGTCGCTCACAGGTGTTCTCATGGTCGCTCACAGGTGTTCTCATGGTCGCTCACAGGTGTTCTCATGGTCGCTCACAGGTGTTCTCATGGTCGCTGACAGGTGTTCTCATGGTCGCTGACAGGTGTTCTCATGGTCGCTGACAGGTGTTCTCATGGTCGCTCACAGGTGTTCTCATGGTCGCTCACAGGTGTTCTCATGGTCGCTCACAGGTGTTCTCATGGTCGCTCACAGGTGGTCGTCGCAGATCGAACTGGTGATGTTCATGTTTCTAGGTCGTCATCTTGTTCTGCGTCTGCGTCTGCGTCTTGGTGCGCGACAATATGTCGGTGCAGTTGTTTAAGGTTGTGTGAGACTGGTATCCTGGAGGAAGTGGTCAGGTCCGGATTCACGAAGCAGTTACGCAAGCACTTACAAACGTGTACATCTTTCCTCAATCTTTGACGGCTTCGGTTACATTTATTAAACAGTTTAAAAGCATGAAAACCTCCCATTCAACTGTTGTTATTGTTATAAACAGTCTCCTGGTGCTTCGGAGCTCATTAACTGTTTAATAATTGAAAACAAAGCCGCCAAAGATTGAGAAAAGATGTACAGGTTCGTAAGTGCTTGCGTAACTACTTCGTGAATCTGGCCCCAGGTCCATGGTTGGTCTTGTGTTGAGGAGGAGGAGCGGGGGGAAGGGGGGGACCAACTGAGACGAGGTGCGTCTGAGGAGGAGTCGCTGGAGTCCGAGGTAGAAGCGGTGATCCTTGAAGAATGAGTAGTGGTAGATCCTGACGCTGGAGTAGAGGGTAGAGTGAGCGTACCTTCGGGCCCTGGGGCGACGGTGGTAGATGGTCCTGGTGGAGACACGGTGGCCGCCTGTGCAGCTGCACGGACGATGGGCGGGACTGCCACCGATGTCGTCGGCTGTGGAGGCGCGGGCTCCGGGGTGCGATGTAGGGTCAGCAGCAGCTGCAGGAACGGGTGCAGCAGCGGCAGACAGTAGACGTGTCAGGCGGCACCGTTCACAGTGAGGTCAGGCGCCAGGCGTCCGGGAGAGCACTCGTCGCTGGAGCACAGGTGGTGAAGACCTCCTCCGGGACGGTGGAGGTCCGGAGGCGGGTGGCAGCGTAGATGATACTGAGAATCCTCACTTATTACCTGTAGTTTGGTGCTCTCTACGGTGGTCGGCGAGCTTGTCGGCCGCCGTAGATATGGCATACACCGCGCTGTGGAGTGTGTTCGGTGTCGGCATATGCCTCGGCGAAGGCTGGGTTGGTGATTGGCTGGCAGGCTGGGAGCTGGGCCCCCATTGGCTGGGTAGTTGTGCTGTTGCTACTCCTCCCCGCGGAAACTCCGGGAAGCTGAGGGATTGAACGTCCCTCAGAACATCATGAAGAATGATGGTGGGAGCTGGGGTGCTGGAGCTGGGGCTCGGGGCGCCAGCGGTGACGTCCCTAGCACTATTTGGCTTCGTCGAATGCAGCCCGGATCTTAATAAGTTTTTGTCTGCGAGGGCAGCGGTGGGAGAATGGTAGGATGATCACCGTTACAGAGCAGGCAGCATTTGCTTTCCGACTTGCAGATGGCGAAGTGATGGTCCAGGGCGCAAATGCTGCACTTCTGGACGGGCTGTTGGCACTTGTTGATAGGGTGGGAGTACTCGTAGCAATTAAAGCACCTTTGTATCTTGTAGAATCATTCCATCTTCACCCGGTATGGAGGACTCTGGAGGCCACAGCAGTGGAGACCGTGTGTGGCAGCTGCCATGGAGGTGAAGGTTATCATGAGGGTGTAGCGCTTCCTGCTGGCGCCGCTGTTGAAGATCTCCACTTCGAATACCCCCAAGTTCTGGTTGTTCTTTATCGATGTTAAGTATAATTTAAGTTATTTTCCGGTCCGTGATCCAAGGGCTGGTCTCGACGCTGATGAAGACTGTTCTTGTTACAAGGTGTTGACGTGAGAAGTTGGGATGGAGGTGGTGATTTCGGCGGAGCTCGCAATCGCATTTCTATAGTTTTTCGAGGTCCTCCTCCTCCTCCTCCCTCGAGACGTAGCGCACAATACTCACCCTTCCTGCAAAGTGTCGATGGATGTGACGCCGGCGACGTCTCTGAGGACCTTCAGGAGCTCGCTCTTGTTGAATCCGTGACCGTCGAGGATGGTAGTCTTGACTGTGAGTCGTGTGTGGTGCACTGTATCCACCCCCTCAACGGGTCGCAGGGGCGATGGCTGTCTTGTGCAGGGGCTGGCCCGAGCTTGCTAATGCTTTACCCAGCAGTGCTCATTACTTAAGGTGGCCCTCCATCTTCTCCCTGGGTATGTACAGGATGAGTGGGGCTGACCTCCTGGTGTAACGTGCCTCGTCCACTATCACACTGTGAGTCTGTGATCGAGCTCGGGACAGATGACAACAAATGATCCACATCAACAAACACGCCAATTACCAACAACCTTCTTGAGAACGATTCAAGCAAGAAACCTCTCCTTAGGACAAAGCTACACAGGAGAAAGGTACACAGAGGTGCATCACTACTTGAAACTAAGGAAAAGTTGCTGAAAATTGTAAAACAAATCGTCTTCAAGAGGTCACGAAAAGACGAAATTTCCTAACCTGATGAGTGAAGGGTGATGAGAGGCAGTAGCTGGCAGTGAGGAACTGTGGCACTAATGTGGTAGACAGCCGGTCGGCCGAGCGGACAGCACACTGGACTTGTGATCCTGTGGTCCCGGGTTCGATCCCGGGCGACGGCAAGAAACAATGGGCAGAGTTTCTTTCACCCTATGCCCCTGTTACCTAGCAGTAAAATAGGTACCTGGGTGTTAGTCAGCTGTCACGGGCTGCTTCCTGGGCGTGGAGGCCTGGTCGAGGACCGGGCCGCGGGGACACTAAAGCCCCGAAATCATCTCAAGATAAGATGGCACAGTGCCCCTCCCTCACACTGCGGCCTCTCCCTCACACTACGACCACTTCCTCACACTACGGCCCCTCCCTCACACAAAGCGCCATCCCTCACACCACGGCCTCTCCCTCATTTCCTCTATAATCCCATCCAGCTGATGATCTCATTCATCTTGATTTTGAAACAAATACCCTTTACCACTGCCAGCACCTCCCAGGCAACACCTCCCAGGCAACACCTCCCAGGCAACACCTCCCAGGCAACACCTCCCAGGCAACACCCAGGCAACACCTCCCAGGCACCCCCTCCCAGACAACACCTCCCAGGCAACACCTCCCAGACAACACCTCCCAGGCAACAGTGACCCTGGGCCACGGAGTACAGTGACAGGTGGCCGTGTTTATGGACGAGGGAGCCACGTAACTCAACCTCCGCAGACCAATAACAGGAAGTGCTCACACCTCCACTCGCGCTCACACACACGCGCAGGCGCTCACACGCGCGCGGGCGCTCACACGTGTTTGCTGGTGCTGCACAAATTTTGAGAAGAATCAAGACGGATGAAGATAGACAGAGACTACAGGACGACCTGGACAAACTGCAGGAATGGTCTAGAAAATGGCTGCTAAAGTTCAACTCTGGAAAATCAATTAGTCAAATAGAGAG